ATTCGATTTTGTGTTTATTTTGCAGTTATTACACTTATACGTGATGTGGCATTAATGAAGTGGCAATTGAATAAGCAAGGATGTGGAATTGATGTGGAATTAAATTTATTTGGTCAAAGACTTAAAAGGAAAGAGACCTATTTTGTTCAAATTCTATGAGGAGGGACCGAGTTTGAGATAGCAAATTAATTAACTCCTTTAGCTGGTGACTTGCGTGGCAGGCTAAGGAGATTGGAATTTGATTTTGAGTGGACTCTCATTTGGTATGCTGGGAGAGTTTGGTGGAAATTGGACTTTGAATTATTGTCCAGGATTATTATTCATTGGCTGAGGGTGAATTAATTCACAGTGGGGAAAAAGAGCTTGAGGGACGTGAATGCTGGGAGAAGAAATTCAATTTATTTGCTTGAGCATTGGAATTATTTGTTTTGAAGGGAGTTTGGAAATCATTTTTTTGTATTTTTGCTTTTCTATTTTGTTGGAAGAATATGGATTATTATTTTTGCTTTTATCATTTAGCTATGTGCAGCTAAATATTTATTCGGTTCTAGGGACGTTGAACCCTCGATGACTATGTTCGATTAATGCAATTTATTTCGTTTTACTCGTCGTATAAAATTGATTGTGTTATTCTATTTTCATGTCATAATGTGTGATTTTTAATTTAGCTTGATCACCTAAGTTAGGAATTGCATGTTAATTGCTAGATTTGAGGCTTCGATCCGAATTGTCGTCGCTCTTATTTCGTTTGTAGCAACTAACAGCCGTGCATTGTTAGGGATAACACAACATAAGTTACATGAACCGAGCTTATGTGTTTGTGGCTTAGATCGGTCTATTTTCCTAGATTTTAATGCGGCTAGTGGGTTAAATTAGGAGAGCTTATTCCGAGTTATTCGCTAGTTAGAATTAATTGAAGAGCCTATTTCGATTAAGTATAAATTAAGGGAAAATTCGGGTAGCAGAGCTTATTGCTATCTAAGACCGGTAGTTTTAGAAGACGAGTGAAATTTGATAAAAGCATTAATTGAGCTAGTTATTCGAGGGTGTAGACCGACCTGGAACCGATTCCATTCTCATATTCACTAGATTATTTTTATTTATTTTCGGTTTCATCATCTTTGGCATATAATTCATTTATTTTTAGTTTTAGTTTATTTCTTGTTTTGCCAGTAGTTTCGTAATAAATCAAATCCCCCCATTTTTATTTTAATCTAATTAATATAATAAAATCACGGTTTATACCACACTCCCTGTGGGGTCGACCCTTGCTCGCCACTACTACTAGTTAGTAGGGGTTAGACGAGGAAAATTTTATAAATATAAATTTGCCGTGTAACGACGCGCGGTCACCAAAGGTCGAGAGATTTAAATGAAAAATGAAAGCAAATCCAATGTGTTGGGCAAAGACACAGTTGAGATTGTTTTTACTTCGGGAAATAATATTACACTTATTAATGTGTTTATTTGTTCCCAATATGAGTACAAATCTTGTGACTGGTGATTTACTTATCAAACCGAGTATAAAAGTTCTGTTTGAATCCAGCTAAGCTAATTTTAACAAAATCGAGGTGTTTTGTTGGAAAAAGTTATCCCATAGAGTGGGATGATTAAACGTTGTATTGAAAATAATATAAATAAAAAGGTATCTACTTATTTTCGAGCATTATAATAAGAATTGTCAAAAGTGGTTTTATTAATTGTGATAACAATGATTTTAATAAAACAAATATAAAATATGTTAAGTATAAAATGATCATCGAATTTGCTTAATTTAATACATAGTGATTTTTAAAAATTAACGAGGTAAAAACTAGAGGTGGCAATAGGTATTTTGTTACATTCATTGATGATTGTTCAAAATTTCCATATGTGTTTTTTTTTTTAAATAAAAGTGAGATTAGTTCTTATACAACCATAGTTGGATAAACCGAAACCAACTAAGTGTGAATAGGTCGACCGAGCGACCAAGCAACCTAAACAGGATTAGTGACATGAACATGACCGAAAGGAAAGATGGGGTATGACGACTTGATGAAGTCTAGACGACTTGGAGGAGCTCAGACGACCTGGGAAGAGTGAACGACCTAAACAAGACAAGCCAACTCAACTGAGGAAGAACGTTGTCTGTGACTGACGATCTGAGGAAATATGGTCATGACGACCTAATAATTATAGAAAACCTAAATAAACAGCCATACTAGGGATATAAAATAATCTAATGGAATTAAGAAGGAATTTAATGATGACTAGGATGAGAGGATGGGGATGAACACTAAGTAGATAAGATCAAACTCGGACAGCCAGGCAGGCCGACCGCGGGCACTCGGACAGGATGACTAAGGACACCCGGGCAGCAGGTATCTCTTATAAAAGAAGCCGAGGTACACCAAAATACTCTCTACACATTTCAAATACACACTACATACATAACACTACCATCTTCTTTCCTTTACTGACTTGAGCGTCAAAGTGCTCATGTCGGGAATCACCCCAGCACTTGTGTTGCAGATCATCTCAGAAACGATCGGAGCTCTCTCAAAGCCGGTTCAACCAATACCCAAGTCTCCGACACATCAACTTCTATTACTCACTAAAAAAATATAGATAGAATTACATCTACTAGTACAATGTATTCGTTACACGAATGCTTGTTAAAAAATTTATATTTAAAATTAATAATAAAAATAATTGTTTTACTTTTTAAATACTTTTTGAAAAACTATATTATTTTATTTATATTTGAAATGACTCCCATCACGATTTACCATCTTATATTATAGTAAACTTTGTTAGCTTATATAACTACTTTGTAGTTAAATTAATTTTAATAATGTTATTATTTTTAATTAGTATTAAATGGTAATTAATTTTTATTATAATGATAAATATAATTATTTATTTATCTTTTATTGTACAATATTGATGTCAAATCAAAACTCATCAAGACACGGTTAATCTTATATATTTATTATAAAAAATTGATAATAAATAAAAAATTATTAACTTTTAAATATAATTATAATTGAAGTTAATTTTTTTTATAATTTCAAAAGAAATATGAGGAAAAAATAAAGATTTGAAGAAAAAAATATGCCTTCTAAACCACATGTAGAATACAAAATGATTTTAAAATAAAATTAATACTCTTAAAAAGGATCATAATATTCAATGTATTTATGAATATTCCAGGCCTAGCTATTTTTGAATTGAAAGTGAATTAAAATTCATCCAAGCCAAGTAACAAAGCATGAAATACTATAGTTCAATAAAATACTAAATGTACTGTAATACCAATTAAACTTCAATTAAATTTTATTCTTAATAATACTTGATCTTCAGTTAATTGAAAAATGTCCTTACGGGAAATGCTCACATGTCCACGGTGGGCACATGTTAATATGCCCACCGCTGATGTGGCATGCACACATTGGTGATGTTAATATGTTAAAAAGAATACATCACCAATGTGTGCATGCCACATAAGTCGGTGGGCATATTAACATGTGCCCACCGTGGGCATGTGAGCATTTCCCATGTACTTATATTATATTTACTGGTACTCTTTTTTAGTCTTATTTTATTCTATAATTAAAATGATATGAAAAGTTAAAGAAATTATTAAAAAGGTGATATTATATTTAATTTGGATTTCAATTTCCATTATTAGCTGCACTAATTTGAATTTTGAGTTACTTCTATATTTTCTATAAGTTGATTTTGAATAAAATCTCTAATATGATTAAGTATTGATGAATTCGAATTTTTTAATGTTTTTTGTTTAACCAAAACATATCTAAATATATATAACTAGATAATCATTAAAAAAAATTTAAAAAATATTTAGAAATCTCTAGAGCTTCGAACATTGAACCATCCCGATAACCTATATCTAATATATATATATAATTGTTGGCTCATGAGCATTTAATAAAACCTATTAAATTATACCTATGTGGCAATATAATTTTTTTCCTCAAAAAACCGTTACTTTTTATTTATTTAACCTTTTAATTATTAGATAATCAACACACTAATCACTTCAAAATTACAAAAATTATTTTAAACTTTTAATTTACTTACAGCTGGCCATATAAGACTTATGACTTCACTGCGCTTCGCTTCGGAGCACAGTCTGTTCTCATTCACCAGGTGGGGCATTCTATCGAGCCGGAGCACATTCTTTCTGAGGAGTGAAACCTATAGCAGTGCTCCTCTTTCTCTTTTGCATGGGCTCTTTTCGATTGTGGTCTGGTGCGCGTGGCGATGGAGAAATGACCGGTCAGAGTCAGAAAAGCGATCCAAATTCTCCCCAAGTAGGATTCCCATAGGCTGCAGCTATTCTCAATCGGCGACTCCGTGGACGAACCTTGCGGAGGAACCCTTAGGTTTTCGGGGCATTGGATTCTCACCAATGTTTGCGTTACTCAAGCCGACCTGACATACGGAAATTCTTTTCCACCGGCTGGATCTGCGGACTTATCCTTCCGCGCTTCGTAAAATTTGTAAAAAATGTCGACTAATCCGCCGAGCTCGCAACGGTCGGAAGCTGGACATTAGAGCATTCGAGACTCAGTCCACTTCCACTCTGCGCGGAATAAGAGGCAAGAAGCAATCTCAGTTACAATGGCAAAAAAAGAAGTTTGTGTTGACTATTTAACGTGATTAGATGTTATTGTTGTGGTTACATTTAAATTAACTTCTTTTGGAAAATAAAAAAACGTATTTGAAATTTTTAAATAAATAATAAATAATTCACAAAAAAAATACATACCAATATATACATTACATCTAATTTGATAAATGCATTTTAAAAAATAATATTCCAGCTCTAAATTTAGTCTGTAAAAAAATGAAAAAAAAAATTATTAATCATTATATGCACGCAAATAACTTATAATTCTTTATTTATATATGTACAAACACATTTCGTATACAAAAGCGAACCGTACCGAAAAATATAATTCTCGAGACAGAACCAATTTTTTGTACAGTTTCGGAAATTAAATTTTAGTGACTTGCAAATTTCATTCATCACATACTAAAAATTCCTTTTTGTCTAATTCCCGCAAACACCTTAGCCTAAATCCAATCCTGTAAAAATTGGATTCCATCCAAGATCGTTCAAATTGCGAACCCAGGATCCATTTATCAGGCTCGAAATCTGTACCTGTTAAACCCTAATCAAAGCTCCCACACGCGTATTCATCCACCCGAGGGCTCACATTCGAATTTCACTGGTATTTGATTTTCTCTCGCGCATCAGTTTTAATCGATTGCCATTTTCAGACTGCTGTTTTTTCCTTAACGCTGGGCTGTTATTTTTATGTTTCATCACTCGATTTGTGTGTATGTGTGTCTGTATGTTTGTGTGTGTGTGTGTGTGTGTGTGTGGCTCAGATTAACGTTATTTAATTTGTTTGCATTGCTCTTTGAAAAACGCGCAGGACTAATGGGATTTTTTGGTTTGCCTTGTTGGACTCTGAGAAGTGTAGATAGATGCACGATTTTGAATCAAAATTGAATTGTTTCCTCTAGGAAGTCTGTGAGTATGATTTGGTTTTGTATGAATCAAAATGTATTGGAATATCTCCAAGGATTTAGCGGTGGATAAGAGCGCTTGGAGGCTCGCTATCAACGTGCCAGAACCGTGACTTTTGCTCCTTTCTCTCTCTCTCTCGTTTTTTTTCCTTTCGGTTCGAGTCTTTTTGTGTTTCTCTTGGGTTTCATCTCTAGCCTACCCCGACTTGCTTGGGACTAAAGGCTATGTTGTTGTTGTTGAATGTAACAGAAATGCATCCCCCTTTTGCAGTGGCTTTGATGCGTGCTCTAGGACAGGGCTGAAAATCTGTATGATGATTTGTTTTCTTGTTTATGTTTGCTCTATTTGTTCATGTTCTTATGAATCAAGTAATAGTATCCATCATCATGTTTCACACTTGGCGAAAAAATTGAGTACAAATAATTGACCCAATTTTTGACTGAACTATATATTGAAATAGGGTTACTAACCTCAATAAAATCACATAGCTAATTAACTCTTGATTCAATTATTTTGTAGGTGTGAGCTCATTGTAAAGATGGTTAAGTTAACGATGATAGCTCGTGTTACTGACGGTCTTCCTCTGGTAGAGGGACTGGATGATGGTCGTGATGTGCCAGATGCTGACTTTTACAAACAGCAAGTGAAGGCATTGTTCAAGAATCTTTCAAGGGGCCAGAATCAGCCATCCAGAATGTCGATTGAAACTGGGCCATATATATTCCAGTATCCTTTTCAGATATATCAGTTTTTTTATTATGTATATGAATTCTGGAGTTGACTGTAGTAAACTCTCTCTCTCTTTCAAGTAAAACTAGATTTCATATTTTCTTTTGACTTAAGTTACATTAAGCCTGGTAGATGCCTTTAAAAAAATCTCCTTGTGGAAGAAATGAATAACTGTATTTCTGAATCTAAATTAGAAGTGCTTCTCCACAGCTTATTACTGTACTTTCTCTAATTATTTGGTCATTTTTTAATTGAGAAATTTAATAATGAGCTTTTGGTTACTTCGTCAACTTCTACACGTAAAGCTTTCAGCTGCGGCCTGCTGCTCTTTTGTTTGGGTTAGGAAAATCTTCCTTGCTATATTTCTGTGTTTTGATGGTTGCTTCCATACCATACCATTCATTCTGGTGATTTTTTTATATTTTGGTGTTCAAAGTTGAAAGTGGTTCACGTTTCAACTTATGTTAATATTATTCTTTTATCCTCCTGGACTGGACAATGTTGAGGCCTTAACCATGGAGCATAGTTATATCATTGAAGGGCATGTATGCTACTTGACTATGTGCGATCGTTCTTATCCTAAGAAGCTTGCTTTTCAATATCTTGAAGACATAAAGAATGAATTTGAGCGTGCATATGGGAATCAGATAGAAACTGCTGCAAGACCATATGCTTTCATAAAATTTGGTAAGTTTTATCTATGTTCTCTATCTCTTATTGTATTTGCAAATATTTTTATGTAATTATTTCTTCTTATATATGGTTTGCTTTCTGATCACTGGCTTCTCTTGCATTTATCAGACACTTTTATGCAGAGGACAAAGAAACTGTACCAGGATACAAGAACTCAACGGAACATTGCAAAGTTGAATGATGAACTCTGTGAGGTGCACCAGATAATGACCCGCAATGTACAAGAGGTCCTTGGTGTTGGTGAAAAGTTGGATCGTAAGTGATTTAGCCATTTCTGTAATACTAAGAACTGAATGATGTTGGATTAATGAATATCTCGGCTTCTTTTTATGTTTATCTTTCTTTTTCTTTATTGGTTTTCTTTTGTTTTTGTACCATTTTTCCCTTGAATATCTGATGTTATAATTAGACAATATTGATTTCTGCAGAGGTCAGCCATATGTCCAGTCGCTTGACTTCTGAATCTCGCATATATGCTGAGAAGGCAAAAGATTTAAACCGCCAGGTTAGTTTAGAACATTTTTATAGAAAGCAGGTTCCAATCAACAGACTCTTACCTTGCTGGTCTTTCTGAAGCTTTCACTATTTAATTCTTGTCGAAATTCTATTCAGAAATATTTTAGCCTCACTTTAGGCATAAGTATTATTTCTTATACCCCTAAAACAAGGGGCTTTATCCAACAAACTAACTTTTGGAATATTATTTCTGAATTTTATTTTATTTTATTTTCATGAATTTGTCTTTGAATTGTGTCATTTTAGTTCCTTACATTCCCTTACAGGCTCTTATTAATGACTTGTCCATCTTCTTTTCGAATGTAGGCTCTGATTCGGAAGTGGGCCCCTGTTGCTGTTGTTCTAGGAGTCGTTTTCCTCCTGTTGTATTTCAGAAAGAAATTTTGGTGAATTATGCCATTTGATGGAGCTCTTTCTGTTAACATTTTATGCTCTGTAAGAGCTGTGTTCAACTTTTTGAAGTCGGCAAGGATATATTTCCTTACGAGGGCAAGACAAATTTAATCTTGTTAGATGCAGATTTTTTTTTTTTTTTTTTTTTTTTTTTTTAAGAGTAAAGTTTGTTTTCTGTAGAACAGTGAGCCAAGGGGCTGATATACACAGATTATCTACTTATACTGTTATACATGAACTAGTTATATTGTCAACATCGTGAAGATTTTTTTCCAGGCATTGTTTGTTGCATTTGCAGTAATAATACGTGCAAATTTTGCAAAACCTTCTGCGTTTGTGCTGAAATAATGGGTTAGCTTCTCTATGGCTGAGATTCCTTCGTCAACTTTCTCATTGAACTTCATGCCAACTTGAAATACAAATGAATTGTTCTACATTGCCATAATGATTTACACATGAGCTTAATAAAATAAAATCAGCAATCTAAATCTTGTTAATACATTTTCTTTAATTAACCAATTACCAATTGGTGATTAAGGATAGATTTTTTCTCCCGTTGGAATATAGTTGGCCTTCTCTTATGTACTTGAAAAGGAATACAAATTTGTGAATACGTGATTGCATTTGCATTGAGAATCTTATGACCGGTACATGTAGCGTAATTGTAACTTAGTAAGATTGGTTGACAATGAAGACAAAGGAACACAAGCAGAGAACATCCCTCCATGTTACATTTTTATGGAATTTCCACTCGTATGTGCCTAAATAAAGTAATTTAAACTTAAAAAATTTCCACTCGTATGTTCCTAAACAAAGTAATTTAAACTTAATAAGAATAAAAAATGCTTGAAACATGTCCACGACTGCTCTCATAGCACATTCGATGCCTTAAAACAACATTATAATAGCAAAGCCAATACAATAAAAGACAAAAAAAAAGAAGAAAAAAAAAAATACTTGAAACATATCTATGACTGGTATCAAAGCACATTCGATGCCTTAAAACAACATTATAACAGCAAAGCCAGTACAATTNTACACCAAAGATATCTATCTATAAATAAACGCCACAATGAGGGGCCATAATAACTGAAAAGCAAGACACTGAAAAACAAAACCATCCAAAAGGTCACACTCACAGTCACAGCTCAAACTCCCACAAGCAGGCAGAGAGCATTCTCACGGCAACTGATACACAAACGATATTACAAAAACATCCAGAGTAGAAAATTTTATAAATAAAAACTGGAAAAAAAAAAAAGAAGAAGAAGAAGAAAATAAAAGACATAAAGTCAAATAGTTTAAAAACTCTCACATCCTCAAACCAAAACACCCTAAAACAAATTTTACTGATAGTACATGAGCTGCTGGGCAGCAGCAACATTCTGGTAAGACCCATCATACATTGCCTGGCTTGCACCCGCACCCATTCCCATGGACCCTTGCTTCAGAGGATGTTGCCCCATTAGACCCATTTTGCTCATTGCAAGTTGCTGCTCGTATGCCAAAAGTTCAGCTGCCGATAGGCCGCCAATGGTGGCCGGTGCAGGTGGCTGCAGAGGATTTGAAGCTGTTCCAGGTGGAGTTGGTTTGTTACCCCACGAGCACTGGAAAAATTCGGGATGCCCGAATTTGTAACAATCAGAAAACATAAAGGAGTAATACTGAAAAAATAAAATAATAAAGTACCCCTGGGTTTTTAGACTTTGTCTAATGACAAAAGAAGCCACTAATTGTTTGAGCATTACAATAATATTCCGATTAGTTTGAATTTACCATTACAGATTAACCACTGTCTGATCCCTCTTGAAAAGTGCACTTGTGCAAAGGATAGTACAAGTCTCAAGGGGTTTATTTTATAATTCTAAAAGATAAATGGGTTTTCGACTCTTTACTGTTTTATTGGGGGAAAGTCTTCTTTCTGTTATGTTTCAAATGAATAAATACACCAGTGTATCCTGCTTTCTATTTTAGAAACTGATAGCAAAGTGCAAACCAGAGGAATTAATCGTAACACCTTAAAGGGCATTTTGTATTTCTTGAAGCTGATTGGATTTTTTATCATAATTAGGTAAAACCTAAATGATAGTTTTTGCAACTATATTTAAAGAGAGGTATTGTAGAACGGATACATTCTCAACACAGAAAGAAAGAGAACCTTAATTTGTCTGCCACCGAGGAAAGGCTGAGCATTTCCCATGGATATTGCCATAGCAGCCTCTCCATGAGTGCTGTACCTCACAAAACCAAATCCCTTATCACGCTGGACACGAACCTCCTCAATCGATCCAGCACCAAGTGCATAAAAGTAACGGTGCAGATCAGCCTGGGTCACCTGTCAGAATAAAAACAAGGGAAAGATACATTACAAAACCAATTCCCAAAAAAAAAAAAAAANTTCTTAAAAACTATTAACCAAGAGTAGAGAGAGAGAGAGAGAGAGAGAGAGAGAGAGAGAGGACTTACTTCTGGAGCAAGATTGCCAACATACACAGTAGTGTATTGGGGATTGTTCTCAGGAGCATCACTATTTGCTGCCTCCTTCACATCTTCTGTAGAGGCAAATTTTCCATCAGAAATATTCGTTGAAGTTGGTAGGGCCAAATAATATCACATGTACAGATTAGAGATAGTAGTGGCAATTTTTAGGCACAACATGTTTGGCCAACACGAAACTGTAAAGTTTGGCTGGGACAGGATTCATAACACAATCCGACTGGCCTTAAAGCAGGCACAAACTTTTTCAATTAATACATTAAGTAATAATCATTTTTGTTGTGACATTATTTTAACATTTTACTTGATAATTTGTCTTTCAGAAACAAGCACAACTAGTCATTCAGTCAACTATGATTCGTTTCAAAGATACTTTTTCCAATGTTAATTATTTAACCCCGCAATCTACTCACCAGAGGAGCCATTTGTTAGTTCCACAACACTTTTAGCATCTGAGCTCTGCTGGTCATCACTGTTTCCAGCGCCTTTTGTGGCCCAGTTACAGCGTATCTGTCTGCTTCCCAGCCATTTTCCTGCAAAATTGACACATAAAGCAACATTACACTCGTGGTAATCAGAGCAGATAAACACAGTTAACTTCAAATTGTTAGAAAAGCAAATGGAAAGAGAAATAATCCAAACTATTCTCACCAGTTAAGTCATTAATTGCATTCTGAGCATCCTGATGGAAAGAAACAACAAAATCAGGATTAAGGAAATGGTAGATTATAAGAAAATTCAGATGCAACTTATGATGTGAGAGAGAAACATACCTGTTGGCTCCTGAAAGAGACAAATCCAAACCCTCTGGAACGGCCAGTCTTTTGATCCCACATAACCCTCGCATCACTTACATCAAATTTGGGATCATCAGCAATTTCCATAACTAATAATACACCGAGAAAATGGCAGAAGGTGGCAGGGGGGTATACTTACGAACAGCTAGGATAAACAGAAAAGCATGCGAACAACATAGCATCTGTCACCTCTGCACTTAGGTCACCGACAAATATGTTGTAGTGGCCTGCATACATGGTCAAAAGATTTCATAAAAACACAGAATATTTGAAATGAAAAAGCTAAAAGCAACCTCATGTCACCATATATACCCACCTGATGTGTCCTCCCTTTGACCACTGGTATAAGCCCAGTTAACTTTGATAGGCTGCCCAAACCTGAAATTCAAACACATGATACTTATTCTGGTATCACTGGAATTTAAACCCAAATATTAAATTATTACAACTCACAGATGTCTCCCGTTGAGGGACAATATTGCAAGTGCAGCAGATCTACGGTCAAAGTAGTGAACGAAACCATAAGATGACTGCACAGAGAGAAGGAAAAGAATGTGAACATCATCCCAAGAGAGAATCTGAGCCACTCAATGCATAAAAGTCCACAAGAAAGAGGATACTTGAGTGTGTTCTTACCTTTTCTTTTCTAACAAGCTTGCAGCTTTCCACAGGACCAGTACTAGTAAAAACTTCTTGGAGGAGTGGCTCTGTCACCTGTATGTGAACATTCCCAACATACCTGCAGTTCTCAAAAAATAAAAACCCTAGAAAAATTCAAAAAGAAAGGAAAAGAAGGAAAAATGGATGAATTCATAAGAATTTCTGCAGATAGAACTAAAACCAAGAAAACAACAACCAGTATTAGGTGGCTAAATAATTAAACAAGATTGAAGCCAATTTGGATCTCCATGGACAGGCAGACTAGGTAAAAGACATTAATGTCTTTGGGACTTAAACATCACATAAGCTAATCAAAGCGTGCAATAAAATACAAAAATATAGAAAAGGAAGGAAATGTTGACTGCATGGCACTCACACACTGCGGCAAGTACTTGGATCAAACCCAGGAGGCAGATTTCCACTTGCCATTGGCTCAATCTGCAAAATGAGAAAGTCAACACAAGAAAGACGAAGTAAAAAAAATATATATATATATATAACATCTTAATTAGAAACCAAAATCCTCCATTCGCCTCAAGGGTAAATGGAAAGATATGGATGCTGAATCATCATTAGGACCACCACACTTGCCGACCATCGATGAACCGATCGGACAAAAGTAAATAAATATATAAAACAGCGCTTGTAGAGGTTCAAAACTTAAAAGCTAATTTTATTTTATCACTGCCCACATCAATCTAAGATTCAGCGATGTCTTTGATAAATTTATAGAAACCCTTTCATTTTCTTCCTAAGTCACCTACTTCTTGCAGACATGTGCTGGTCCATCACAATCCATCATGCGAAATCTTTTCGAAACAATAACCATCCATTTTTTTCTGGTTATTCTACAGTTATATATCTAATCTCCCTCACATAAAATTATTGCTTCCCTGAGATTTTTTTCCACTATGCTCCTCACTCAAGGAGCACCTCCACCTAGCAACTTCCATTCCTCAGAACTTGAAACAGACAGTTCAGAGAGTAAAAAAGAAATTTTTTTTGCACTCTATATGATAAACGTAATAAATAAGCTATTAATCCCCAAATAGACCTTTTCGATAAACACTTCAAAATCCCAGCTGAATTTCTAAAGCACAGGGGCAAATTAGACCTAAATATTAGGCCATTTTCTTCGAAATCGAATTTGCCTAAGAAACGTAAAATAGGTACTAAAGGCAGAAATAAAAATTTCTTGCTCCAGACTTCCCCCTTCAAACATGGCACCAGATATCCACAAACCACATATACAGAAAATCAAATCCATAATAGTAGAAAATTCCACGACAACCATCATTCAGCTAATTATCGCCAACGTTTGTAATTATCCCGGCGAAGACCCGAAAAACAAGCATCTCTAAAATCAAAATCTCAGGCATACCCAAACGAACAGATAATCCATCAATCACCAAGAAAAAAAGAAAATGGAAAAACGAAAATTGAACCTGAGGAGCAGCTAAAAGGCCGGGATGATAAAGCGACTGTTGCTGAAGGATCGCTTGCTGCATCAAAGCCTGATGCTGTTGCAGCTTCAATCTCTGATTCTGCATTTTTCTGTATTGATTTTAACTGAATAAGATCCCTTCAATTAGATGATCGATAGAGGAGATGTGCAGGTTTAGGGTTTGTAGAGCGATGGAAAAATCGAGAGAGGGCCCTATATCTCTATGAAGAAATAAATAAAAAGAAAAGGAAAAATAAGAAAGGACAAAAAGAAAATTCACAGAGAGAGAGGTGAAATTATAGGGGTGTGAGACTAATTATAGCTCTGAATTTTAATGGTCCCACATCACGCGCTAACAAAATGCTAAAGACTTTAAAGGGCCTGCTCAGTAGTCAGAAGGCCCATTTCTTTTTGGCCCAGTAGTAGAATTGATATAATAGGAATCTTTTTGTTTGACAATCCTTCTTATATATAATTTCAGAATGAGCTGATCCTAATTGATAGTTTTTCACGCTTCGTAATCTTATGTGAAAAATATTATTCTTTAAATATGGCTCAAATAAAAATTACTAATTTTTATACTAAATAGCTTAGGCTCGAATTGTCATATATATACACATATTTAATATATTTAAATTATTCTATATAAATCTTGTATTGCACATGATCTTACTTTCCAAATTTTGTACTTTGTCCATATTATTTCCTTATGTATTTTAAATAAAAATTAGTACGAATCTCGTGCGATGCACGGGTAAGAGATATTAATTAATATAAATTAAAAATTTTCGTTAAATAATATTTATAAATTAGAAACATGGAATCAATATGTAATACAATGTACCTATATAATTTCTTGAAAATGCTATATAAAATTTAAATTGTGCAAAATTACATAAAAAAATGTTTATTTAAATTAGTACACATCCCGTGCATTGCACATAATTGATAATTAATTACATTATATCATTTCAAAATATGTGTCATTTCAAAAATTTTATTCAGAAATTTGATTTGACTATAACGTGATCCCATAAAGTAATTATTTTGGTAAAATTTTATCATATATTTTAAGACCTATGTGAATAATAAGTATAAGTATAAAATTTATATTATTTAATTAATTAAAATAAATTTATTTTTGTATAAAATATCCAAATCAAAAAATTTAAGTAGTTGAGTAAAAGCAATTAGTCATAATATTTTTATGCCAAAAAAATCAACACTCTTTATCATGCTAAAAAATGAACAGTGTATTTCACACAAAAATTATCTGAAATGTCGTAACAAAAAATGAATTAAATCGAGACCCACTAATTATACAAAAAAATTGACCAGACCCTTTTCTATAAAAAAAATATCGATACACGCACATAAAAATATCAGTTCATATTATTTTGTCGGAGTTACAGTAATTTTATTATGTTAATTTTATACGAAAAATTGAAATAAAACTAAAACCCACGCCTAAAAACCAATATATTAGCCTACGCATTACAAATAAAAATACACCGTATATTGATTAATTTTTCAACAAATTTCTTACAAAAAAAAAAAAAAAAAAAAAAGTTGTTAAATAACCTAATAAATTTGCTCGCTTTATACCATATATTGATTAATTTATTTCCTATAGAAACAACCATCAATACCAAAAATAAATTTGTCTATATACCATATATTAATTAATTCACATGATTTGAGTAATTAAGGAATCTTAAAATATGGATTAATTACTTCCTTAAATAATGAGCCGCAATTACCATATGTGATCATTCGAAATATACTATAAATTGTTAATTTCCTGAAATAGTAAATAATATTTTTTGGAAGAAAATAGTTACTATTTAAAAAATCATCAAACCTTTATATATATATATATATATATATATATATATATA